TATATTCTGTTGTCAATTCAGGTATAGCTGTATAGCTTAAACAATAAATAATTATATATTATCAAGGCTTATCAAGGCTGCTGACCTACCGATTTTGTCAATGATTTTTTTGTTTTTTAAATTACTAATTTTCTGATTTTTTCCTTTGTTTCAGAGGATGCCAAAAGGGTATTTTTTGGCGGTCTTCGCGGCCATCCTTCTACAGACGACGCAGGTAAATCCCAAGTTCAGAAACTGTTTATGATCAATTTTCCGTACAGAATAACCCTTCCGGATTTTTACACGGACCACTGTCACGCTTTCAAAGCTAAAACACCGTGTCGAATGTTATTCAAAACATAAGTTCCGCCCCTTTATAATTAATGAAAGTGATTTTCCAAGCAGGCCGAGAACGCCCTTGTACACACGATGAGAAAGCAGGAAACGAAACTATTTTCATCGCATGTATCATCTTTTTATTGCTCGGAAGTTTATGATTCGAAGGGGAAAAATTCTCTTCCAGGTTCAACAATTTAAATTCAATAAGCTGCAACGTGAAAATTATTATGAGTACTGTTGCCTTTACTCGACGGCTTTCTGTTTTTTTACCCATGTATAATTTTAAAGACTGAAGGAAATTTCGAGATATGAAGATTAATGAATGTCAGTGACTAATGAAGAACTTACTTAAGAGGTAGAACTTTCGAAACATCCGAGCTTTTCTTGATAATATTCTGAAAATGTATCTTTTTTTCACATGAGCTTATGACATCCGATGTGAACAGAATTACGTGCGAGTTTTTATTTGCTCTGCGGAGAAAGGGTCGTCGTATAAGTTTTGTAAGAAGATTTTTAAACAAAACCGGCGTAAAACGTGCGCCCCATGCCTTTCTCGCCGTTCGTGCAAAATTTCCAGGTTTCTTAATAAAAATTCCATGTTCGAATTGAACAATGCCCGCCCAGTAGAAAGTTGTCGCCTCGTTCCCTCGCTCATTGTCGATTCTCGTCCTGACTCGAATGGCAATCCCGATGGAATAGTGGTTTTCAATAACTTTCGCGTTATATGTTACAATGGTAAAAGCTTTGAGCTTCAAAAGAATTTTTTAAAAAGAAAGCTACTGCCGTTTATGAACCAAGAGAGATATGAATATCTGTTAAAACTATAAATTTTTAATTTTTTTCATTTTCAAAGCTTTACCATGAAGTATAAATTTTTGGAGACTTTTTAAACATCTATCTCGTTAAAAAAAAAAAAAAAAAAAAAAAAAAAAAAAAACAGATTCTTGCACTGTGGTTGAACCCAGTTCTCATTTCGACCGATAACAAGGCTGCGGTCAAGCGCAAACATCATTTTCCACTCGTTTTTTTTAATACTGAACAATTTCTCAATTCTGGGTAATTTGACGTCGAGGGTACTGACTCTTACGCTGGCGTACAATGGCCGGGTTCGTCCCGCACATCACACACGTCGGTCTTTTAATTTACCTTGTGGGCGTACTGGTATTGTCGTCGGATTCTCCACGGGGACGGGTCCTGACGTGCGGGATCGATCCTTTAAAGGATCCGGGCGATCGGGCGACCTTTACAAGCCGAGGAGTTTCACTGGGAAGATGGCCGTTGATTGTGACCGTTTCTCAAGACCAGGAAAAAAAATCCCCGCACCTTTAGAAGGCTGAAATTAATCGTTTTCAATTCCTACGGTCATGTGAATAAGCTATTATCACAGGCAGGATATATTTTTAGAGAGAACGGTATCTTAGATCCAATAGAAATAGTTTAAAAATTGGAGATCCCAACTGGCAATTTAGATCTCGACCGGTACCTACAAATATAAAAACTAGTTAAAACAACTACTTTTTTTCAACTTTTTCCACAAGTTTGATATTGCACGAGGTCGCTTATTTCACAAAAACCGAGTAAAATTATCATTTAATCTCTCTACCTAAAACAATTATCATAAAAATTCAAAAATGCAAATTACTCAATACAAATTAAGCTTTGTTGGCTTTGATTTAATTTTCTATTCAGATTTCTTTGAATTATGACAGGAAATAGCATGACGGAAAACAATAGATGTGCAGGAACGAACAATGACTAAGGTAAAACTGATTACAGTAATCTTGGATTGCAAGCGTAGAAAGGAAAGTCTAAACCTAAGGCTCCAAAGAAACCAAGAGGGCTTAAATAATCGTTTCCTAGCTGTACAATGCGGTTTTAACACCCCTCTCGCAGCTAGCAAACAGTTCCATTCTAATAAATCGATATAAAGAGAATATGATTCCAGAAAACCTGTTAAAGAGTTAGAAAGAAAAAGACAGACAGACAGAAGGAGGGAATGAGGGAGAGAGAGAGAGAGAGAGAGAGAGAGAGAGAGAGAGAGAGAGATAGAGAAAGAGAGAAATAGAAGGGGAATTAGGAATGAATATTGTTTCTTTAAAAATTCTGTAAATGTAAGTCGCTAGTGTGTGTGTGTGTGTGTGTGTGTGTGTGTGTGTGTGTGTGTGTGTGTGTGTGTGTGTGTCTGTCTGTCTGTCTGTCTGTCTGTCTGTCTGTGTATGTGTGTATGTGTATGTGTGTGTATCTCTGTGTGTGTGTGTGTTTGTGTGTGTGTCTGTGTCTGTGTCTGTGTCTGTGTCTGTGTGTGAAAGAGAGAGAGCTATATTTCGTGAAATACAAAAATTATTTCAATAATTACCAGTTGATTCAAATAATTATAAATTTATAAAATATAAATATACAAGATATTTAAAAATAAATTTTATTGATATTACATTCATAAATACATTGCGTGTACTTTTTAAAAACCCAATTTAGAAACTTTTTAATGGAAAAGCGTTAAAAAAATGGCCAAAATCGTTTACACCACACTTGATTTTGTTCAGTCTAAGAGCAGGCAACAATAATCATTTGTTTTCCAGTAGGGTAGACATGAAAATCCCCTGAAACTTCAATATTCCAAGATCCACAAAAGACCCCCTCTACAATTTTCTAGATAATCCATGCCGATCAGTACCCTCAAGGCTGGTCTCCCAAAGACCCAAAACCAGCACACAGAACTGGATGAAAGAGTGGACATTAGAAAAATAAAGATCTCTCAATACCTGTCGAGTCAGCGCTAATGACATCTGTTGATGTTTTAAATATCAAAAATATTTATTGGACAATATTGAGCAAAATAAAAGAGAGAGCATTTTTGCAATAGATTGCTTGATTGATCTTATCCGTCCCACTGCCGACATCCAGAGGCTAGATCTTTTCAAAATCATACGTTGGGGGTTCATTTTAGAACCCAACACATGATTTTTAAATCTAGATTTACTCATTCTTAAATACATTTTTTCCTATTTCATACCGTTCATTCGAGTAGAGTAGTCAATGAACCACCATGAGGCCGCTACACATTCTCGCTAATAAATGCATTCACTTATGTACATAAAACCAGTACTTTATAAAACAAAACATCCGCGTTTCCTCCAATCGTAACCGGGGGGCCAAATACTCGTGTCGTGCTGGAGCATCCTCAAATCGGGACGCACTCCTACACGCTCTCTATATGGAGCCGATGAATGACACCATTCAATAAGGGGGACACATAGAGCAAACTTTCTCTACATGCCGGACAAATATGCGGGTTTTGACCAAAAATTAAGTGTCCCTATGTCATCCGCCTGCCAATATGTTAATAATGAAAATAATTAGTTTGTACAAAAATTTCTGATCGCTTTGCTACGATTTTTACGATTGAGTGAAAGAAAAATTATATTTTTTAATTCGATATTTGGATAAAGTGGTAAAAGATTATATAATAAAAACATGTAAAATCAAAAAGAGCCACATCGTGAAATAAGGAGTAAAATGGCATAAAAAACAGAAACACTAAATTGGTATCCAATAAAATATCGATAAATATATAGATCGAGAAAGATACATAATTTAAAGTTAAATTGTAGGTAGATATGAGTTTATGATATTGATTCGTACGGCGAGGGGTGCCACACTTCGGCGTCATCGATGTGATTTACTGGTTTAACATATCGCCCTTTTTATAAAAACAGTAATTAAAGGAGGCATTTAATTTTGTCCAGAAAGATGGCTAGACATCTCTCCTAATCTATATATTTATCCATTTATTGTCAATCGATCGACATCATTCCTCTCATTTTCCTTCCAATCATATTTCTTATCTACTCATCCCTCAATCTACCACGTTTTGTATTTATCTCCCATCTTCCTATTTATGTATCTATCTTATCAAACTATCTTTCTTCCTCTCTTCTCACTACCTTTCTCTCTAAAATATAAGTGTGGGTGCTGTCTGTCTGTCTCCGTTTTCGTTCTCTCTCTCTCTCTCTCTCTCTCTCTCTCTCTCTCTTTCTCTCTTTGTTTGTATGTGTCCGTTTAGTCAGAAAACGTCAAAACGACACAAGAAAACCTCCTAGAAAATTGTCTATGTTTAAGGAATGAGGAGAAATTCGTCTAGTTCTTAGAATTCTCAGCGATAACAAACAGATATGACCTGGTAGTAATTAACAATGCCAATTAACAAGTTAAACAACAAATTAATTTAAAAATAAAGACGATGAAATATCTACATGTTGAATAAATATAAAGTTATTTTTATTTATTAAATATTACTTTTACTAGTTTTTAATGAACAACTTTTCAAAGTTTTGAATTACTAATAGTTGTACTATTTTTACAAATCCGTACTGTAACTATTTGATTATCTACTGTACATCTACTAAAATTTATTTTAAAAAATATATTATCATAGAGATTGTCTACGATACATAAAAGGAAGAATAATAGAAAAGAAAAAGAAGTATATAATTGGCAATTACGTTTCAAACTGTTCAACTATGACGACACCTTTCGATCTTAGTTGGAATTACTTTGAATAAATAAATAATGAAATATTCAGTTCGTACTTTGGTTTTTTTTAATCGCGTCTGTCATTTCGTCTAACACCTATCTACTTGAAATTTTCTGTTAATACTGTACAGGTACAGAGCGAGAGTAAGCGGACCAGAATGACCGGAGATGAACTTCATCACTTCACAGGCCTATTCCTTTTTAAATAAAATCTGCACGACAATGAATCAAATTTGCTTGTTTCCGATTATTTTGAACTGCTTATCTTCGTCGTTTTAGCGTTTCGGCTTTTCGCTTTGGGTTTCAGTGATCTGTCAGGGATATAAGCTGGGTGAGACTGTTCATCCCCTCTCATACACAGAC